ATTTCATACAGATAACATTTATTATGTATTAAATATTAAGTTATAAATGCTTAACTTGTATAATTTGTAATAATTTAAATTCGTGTTTTATACATAAATTAATTACGCTATCAAACAAACAGACTTATGGCTACAACTTGAACTTGATTGTCGCTGACAATCTCTATATATATATACTAATTAATAGACATACTTATATATTGACTTGTGGCTATTCAACTACATCGATTTCAATGTTATCGTCGTCGTCGGCTCGTTCGCTGAGCTCCACGCTGGAACAACTGTCGGAGCTGTAGTCCAATAGCTCGTGTGGCCTTGCTCCAGCTCCAGCTGCGGATGGAAGCAGCAATGGCTTCGTCGCGCTATTGCTGGACCCCATCGGCCCCTGTGACTGTGGCTGCTTCTCTTGTCCGCTTTTTAGATTCTCACGCGTGTGACGCCATTTCATGCGCCGATTCTGGAACCACACTTTGACCTGTGAATTGATAAAGCTTTAGCGTTAGGTCTATGGCTGAGTTTTGGCCAAAGCTTACCTGAGCATCTGTCAGATTCAGTCGTGCTGCCAATTTGCGTCGATCCGGCTTGGTTATGTATTTCTGCTGCTGGAATTGTATCTCGAGTCCTTTTCGCTGCAGATTTGTGAACACGGCTCGCGACCACGAACGTTTCCGTTTGCCATTGCTGTTGTTGCTGCTGTGGTTGTTGTTGCTAATGCCGGTGTTGTTGTTGTTGTTGTTGTTGATGCTGCTACTGTTATTGCTGTGGCCGCCATTTTGTAATGTGCTTGCAACACCTGTTGCCGCTGTCGGAATGTCCAGCAACTGTTGATGCGCCGTTTTGGCCATGAAACGTTGCTGCTGCGTCAACTGCAGTGTCTTGAGGCTATTCAATGGCGCCAGCAGCGCAGCAGCCGACGACGACGACGTTGTTGCCTTATGGTGTTGTTGTTGTTGTTGTTGTTGCTGTTGCTGCTGTTGCGTTTGAATATGTTGCTGCTGCTGCTGATGATGATGATGTTGCTGCTGCTGTTGATGGAAACGCATCAATGCGTTCGTTGCCAGCGACGGAAATGTTGCTGTAGATTAGTTAGAATATGTATAGTATAGTATAGGAATTTGCAAAGTAAATATATTTATATTTATATACATATGTACAAATTGTGGTTTGATTGAACATATTCGATCAAAATCTATAGAATACCTATAGTTTATGCTGCGGTCCTTAAGTATAAGTTAAAGCGATCTGTGCCTAAGTCAAATGAGTGAACTACGCTCTGTGCTGATCTGATCGTGGCTCCGAAGACGACTTTTATTTAAAATTGATATCCAATGTATATTTCCCTGGCTGTCCATGGTGTTTAGTAGTCCATATATAATTGTATATGCTCCAACTATATTTATATTATATATGTATTCATTAATTAGAGATATCACAATAATTAATGCGTTTGCATTCTGAAAACCCCATGTAGTATAACTAAAAACTTGGTCAATTTATTGGAGCCTCAAACTTATGATAGTGATATAAATAGAATTAAATTTTTGTAGTATTATGTATTTACTTAAAGTCTTAAAGCACATTAAAATTAAGTTTCTACTTCTATCACATACTTTAAGTGTAATCATTCCATGTAGCATTACTAGACTATGCCTTTTATATTGCCAAAATATTTATTTATTTTACCTGACTTCCTACCCACATCATTTGCTTAGTACACCTAAATAGATTTTCTATTTTATCACTTGTCGAATAATTTTTTGTTATTCGCCTCATTTACTTCGTATATTTATTTTTATTTTCTTGGGGAAATGCATTTACATTTCGATTTTCATATCATGCTACTTTATTATTTATTTCTACTGCAAAACACTCAACATCCTCTATGAGCCGGATATCTCCGGCGGGGCCCAAATATTTTCAATATAAATTTATATATATATAAATATTTTGCAAGACAATTTACGCATTTCCTTAAGCGCATTATCTAAAACTCAATAATCTTCGACATGAGCAAATATTAAAATACAATTTTCACCCTGAAGGAAAAGAAATCGAAAAGAATAAATGAATTTGAGTAAATTATTTTCAATGAAACGCACGTTGAAAATATTTAAATGAGTTTGTTTATAATAAAATTTTCACTTAATTGGAAATAATCAACGTTGCGGGTAAACAAATTGTTTACAGCACAGCGCCAAAAAATAAAATCAACAACAACAAACAGAAGCAAAAATATCTCTTAGAGGACCAAGAAGAATAAAAAAAAAAAAAAACAACTAAAATTATTTGGGGTAATCGAGCACGACATGGGGCACGAGATTGCGGCTGGCTGGGAAGCTGGGCCAAGTGTGCGGCTTGCAGTTAAATGTTTTTTAAATACCTCGTTTCTGCTTCTTCTTCTTCTTTTTTTTTTTTGAAAAACTAGTTTATGCATTTTTATTGGATTTTTTTTTTTTGTGCACGAATATTTCGAGTGCGTAAATGGATTTGGAATTTGTTTGTGTGCGCGGCATGCGTCTAATTGTTATTTTGTATTTTTCATGGCTCATTTTATTTACTCAAAACTCAAGCGATCCTCTAGCCGTGTATTTACATTGCAACGGAAATGCATCTGTAGCTGCATCTGCAACAGCAGCCGTAATAACGCGCACGCCTTCATCTTAATTGGCCGGCATTTGGCTTATGTCAACCGTCAACGGTTTCGTATAATGAGTTTCCATTGATTTTCAACACCTTGGCGCACCTTAATTGCCACACACACACACACACACACACACATATCGATACCTTTTTGTAAATAATGCTGTAAATATCTTAATGAGTTAAGCGATCATCTAGGCATGGCCAGAAGCATCTCGCATCCTGAATATTTGTAGCTAGCTCACACAAATTTATGACCTGCTTTAAATTGTTACGATTTATTTTCGAACGTACAATCATATTTATGGGCCTGCGAATATCTTGTGGGCTGGCATAAATATTTGTATGCATTTTCGAATGCAACACGAATAATCGCCACAATGTATTGCCACAAGCGTAGCGAGAGAGTTATGGGTTCACCTGAAATAGCAGGCGTAAGACCTGGAGAGATCCCTGACCCTTATTGAACGAGCAGGGAAATTGAGTTAATGTTTCCATACGACATGCAAACTTTGTATGGCATTTTCATTTGTAAATAAATAAACAATCTTAAGATGAAGTAATTTTCTTAATTTATAATAAACAAGGGTTTCCTTGGTATTAACAAAAATTCGATGGGGTCAAAGAAATCTTTTGTTGACTTTCTTCTTTTAATTGAATAATTGAATATGTAACGTAATCAAAAGTTCAGATAAAATATCTGTGGATAATGAAATTTGGAAATTCCTGTAGGTGCACTGCTGAGATATGGATGTGTGAATGGAAAGTGTTCTCCCATATAAGTCAGATTTCATGATTATATACATATGTATAATTAAAATATACTTTTTAAGAGAGAGAGAGAGAAAGAAAGAGAGAGGGCGAGCAGGAATCGAAACCGAGTGTGGGAAGGAATGGAAAGGAAAGGAAAGTAGGGGAGAGAAGGCAGAGGAAAGGATTGGGTAAAGGTTGGGTGAGATAGAAGACAAGGAGGCGAAGAATGGATGAGAGACGGGAAGTAGAAGAGCGTGAGGAGAAATATTGTAGGGCGAATCAAAAAGAAATATGTAAAATAGGATATACCATTACAAAAATGATTTCCGATTTGTTTTTATCAATAACAAACAAATTTAATAGTTATTGATTTTTTTGGAAACAAAATCTGCGCTTCGTATATTAGGATCTTAGGGAATCAAACAAATCTTCTATCTGTTATCTTGTATGTGTATAATTAAAGTAAAGTGGTTCTTACATCAATAAATATGCATATTCTTTAACTGATCAACTTTTGGCGTTCCATTATGCAAATTTAACGAATTGCTTGATAATAATCATCAAAGTTTAATAGGCTTTTATCAAGATCAGTATTATATTCCATTGAATGTTGTATAGCAAATTAGTTTGTTGGTTGATTCGAAAAAGAAAACAACGAAACCGCACAATTTGATTTTTTGTCCATCAAAACAACATAAAATATCGTAATCGAAATCACTTGTAATAATCAAAATTACAGATAATTCGTATTAATAAATAAAACAAAAACAAAAACGAGTTAAACCGCGATAACTGATCACAATGACGTGTTGAAATCTCATGAAACCCAAAAGCGACATATAAAATTCGTATCATAATAAACCACAACGATCATCAGTGAGCGATCATTCGTTGATCGTCTTGTTAAGGCCTTGTTAAGTGAAAGCGCTCCTGCTGCTGGGAACGCTGGCTAATATGACAAAGTTGGCTCAAACAAACAGCATGTTATATACAGGCCAACACGCATGCATTGCTATGGATCATTGATCACATCGAACTGAAAGACACAAGCAATTGGATTAACATATAAATTGTAAATTAATTAGGCAAGCGGCGCCAAATTATTGGCCCCGACCCGCAGCATAAACCAAACGATTCATAAATAACTACAACAACAACAACAACAACAAGAAGCAAAATAAGAAGAACAAAAATATACATATGTACGTGAACGATCCATCGATCGGTCGAGCGATCAATCGATCGATCGCCAGCCAAAAAGGAAAAACAATCAAACAAACTACTCAACACCCATGAAACAACAGCAACAAATACATATTGTTGAAGATGAGAGAGAATGTGAGACCTGGAGCTGGTGCTGGAGCTGGAGATGGCTGAGCAGCCAGAAACTGTGACTGGCCGGGCCCAATGGTTTTTTATGATGTGCGATGCGATGCGATCAATCCATCACAAATGAATGCAACGATCAGATACCAAAAAGCTCTCTCTCTCCCTCTCGCTCTCTCGTTCTGTGCTTCTTCCTGGACCTGACACCACAGGTAGCTTAGCTGGCCACCACAGTGGGTGGCTGTGTAAATAGTTGGCCTCGCTTGGCCCCTAAAAATACCACATAGCTTCAAGCAATCAGCCAGTCAGTCAGTCAGTCAGTCAGTCATTTAGTCAGTTAGCCAGTTGTTCAGTTCGTCAGAGTGGTGCATGTCATTAACTTAAACGGCTGCCTCAGTAGTTGGCTCCGCGGCGCTTCAATCTATCAGAAGATAGAAAGATTCCGCAGCCATCTTCTGGCTAAAGGCTAAGCGCTCTCTGGCCGAACGGAACAATTCATTATATTGTAGCTGGGATGGATTGGCTATTCCTGAATGACGGGGGCCAATTGCTCAAGCAAATAAACAAATTTGCTTCAATCGGTTTTTCCAAAAAAAAAAAGGCATTTCATTTGTTTGCTGCCAAACGGGCCGGCAGGCAGACAGTTTATTTTCAAAGGCCGTTTCTTAATTTGTTCATAAATTGTTGTTAATTTGGTTTTGGTTCTTTTGAATTTAATTTATTTAATGTTGCCCAGGATTGATGAAACACTTCAAACTCTCGCCTGGCCGAGGCCTCTGATGTGTACATGTATTTCTGTTCGCCTCTTCTGCTGTCGATTGAGGAAATGTCGAATTTAATGCCACGTGCTAATTGGCATTTCATTTGCGATCTGCGTGTGTTTAATGTGTTTGAGAATCATTTAATATTGATAATAATTTCCATAAATGTTCACATTTAATTGATGGGCTGGCAAATTCCAATTAATTTGCCGCTAATTTGTTTGCATCGTTCAAAGGAAATTAAAGTGAAAATGTTGTTGAAAAAAGTATTCTTGAATGATATCATTTCGGATTTTTTGGGCATGCATAAATTCGCGTCAATTGAAGATTTTTGGGAAGTCTTAAAATAAATTGACAAGGAAGCTTTGCTTAATGTTGATATTATCCTTTCAATTTACAT